GTTTTAAGTCCTCAAATACTCAGCTATGGGAGACGGTGCTAAAGCTCTTTCCAAAGCTGTTGTTGAGGCTCTCAGGTAGACGTACGATCAATGCCTATGATCTTTACCAAGTGATAATCCCGGTTGCCTGATTTCTCAGGTTCTATTGATGGGATCTAACTATGATGAGTGGTCGCGTGAACTTCGTACATCACTCAAAGGCCGTAAAAAGTTTGGCTTTGTTGATGGCAAGATCGCTAGACCCGACGATGATTCTGCTGATTTTGAAGATTGGGAGACTAACAACTCCTTGATTGTGTCTTGGATTCGTAATACCATCTCTCCGGACCTTCGTCGAGATATCTCGCACTTTGAAATTGCGAAGGAACTCTGGGATGATATTGAAGAACAATACAGTGTCGTGAACGCAACGAAGGTTCAACAACTTAAGTGTGATCTCTTCTATTGCAGACAATGTGGGATGAGCGTCTCTGCGTATTATGGCAAATTAAAGCATATGTGGGAAGATTTAAGTTCTCATGATCAGTCTGATTGGTGTAACTGTGATAAGTGCACATGTGATTCTTGAGGACGTAGCGCTCGACGTCGTGAAAGTGACAAGGTGCATCATTTTCTCTTCGGCCTTGATGAATCCGTATACGGTGGTCTTCGCACTTCTCTGCTGTCTCGTGAACCTATACCTACACTTAATCAGGCTTTTGCAATTGTTTTACGTGATGAAACAATCTGTTCTGGTTCGCATCATCAAGAGGAGAAGCTTGGCGTTGTGAGTTTTGCTGTTCAAACTTCTGCTGCAAGTGGTACAGAGGAGTACAAGAATAAAGTCTGCACTCACTGTGGAGCTGCTGGTCATGAATATTCTGCATGCTTTCAAGCTCACGGTTATCCTGAGTGGTACCGTGGACAACGAGTTGTACAGGCTCAGACCTCGTCAAGCTCTACTTCCCGTAGCCGTGGTGCTCACACTCATTTGGCTCAAGATTCTCTATCTAACAGATCTGATTTGCAGGTGGTAATGAATGCTTCTCATGATAAGGCGAATCCTGGTGGCTTCACGGATGAGCAATGGCAGCTCATATTGCAGATGGTTCAGGCGGGAAAATCAAGTGCTTTTGAAAAACTAAGCGGTAAGAATTTACTTGTTCCCTGGATTTTAGATACTGGAGCTTTAAACCACATGACTGGGTGTTTGGAGTTGTTGTCTAAAATTGTTGAAATCTCTCCTTGTTTGGTTGGATTGCCTGATGGCCGCTTCTCTCTTGCCACTAAAAGTGGACACGTTACCTTAGGAAAGCGTCTCCGTTTGCTTAATGTTCTCTATGTTGAGGATCTTCATTGTCATCTTATTTCAGTTTCTTAGATGATTAAACAGAATAGATGTTTTGCTCAGTTTCATGATGGATTTTGTGCGATTCAGGACCATTCGCGGACGCTGATTGGAGCAGGTGAGTAACGCGATGGGCTTTACTACTTTAGGACAGTGGAGAGAGCAGCTGCCGTGAGTTTGCGTTTGATCGTTCCGTTTGATGTATGGCACCGGCGACATGGACATCCATCGCCTAGAGTAGTTACTTTAATTTCTGGTGTTGATTTAGTAGTAATAAGGATTTGAATTCTTCAGCGTGTGATGTCTGCTTTCACGTTAAGCAAACTCGTGATTCCTTTGCTTCTAGTGATAATAAAATAACTGAGATATTTCAGCTTATACATTGTGATGTTTGGGGTCCATATGGAACTCCTTTCTCTGGTGCACGCTATTTTCTTACAATAGTTGATGATTTCTCTCGAACTGTTTGGCTGTTCCTTATGGTTGAGAAGAGTGAAGTTAGTTCTCTTCTACACCAATTCGTCTCCATGGTTGAACGTCAGTTTTCTACTCTAGTAAAGACGGTACGCAGTGACAACGGCACCGAGTTCATGTGTCTAAAGATTTTTTTCTGTGACAAAGGCATTGTTCATGAAACGTCTTGTGTTAGGGACGCTTCAACAAAATGGACGAGTAGAAAGAAAACACCATCACATACTTAATGTTGCTCGGGCTTTGCGTTTTCAGAGTAATTTGCCTATCGACTTTTGGGGTGAATGCGTTCTTACTGCGGGATATATAATTAACCGTACTCCATCAATGGTTCTTCATGGGAAGATTCCTTATGAGATTATACATTCTCGAGCACCAGTACTTGATCATCTTATCTTTGGATGTCTTTGTTATGTGCATAATCAAATTCATCGTGGAGATAAATTTGCAAGCCGTAGCCGACGATGCATTTTTGTTGGATATCCGTTTCTCAAAAAGGTTGGCGCGTATTTAACATGAAGACTCGTAAATTCTTTGTGTCTCGTGATGTGGTATTTTGTGAGAATGAATTTCTCTATCAAGATTCACGACATGCTTCTCCTTCGCCCGTCTCCTCTCCTCTTGTGGAATTTGTCGACGATGATGATGGTATTGTTCCGCAGCCTACTGTTTATCCGTCCCAGTCAACGATGATGATGATATTGTTTCGCAGTCTACAGCTTCTCCGTCGCCAGATTATGATCAGATTGTGTTTCCATCTCCTGTTCCTACGGCAACTGATATCAGTGTACCTCCAAGTCCTATAGTTGATGTGCAGAGTTCGATTGATGTTGAGTCTGAACTTGGTAAAGGGAAAAGTGAGAAAACTATTTCTACTCGTCTTAAAGACTTTGTCACTTATACCGTTACTGTGGAATCTCCTCATGATGACATATTATCTTCTTCAAGTCTGTATCTGATTGATCCATATGTTGATTGTCATCGTTTTTCAGAGACTCATCGTGCCTTCTTAGTAGCACTTGAAGAAGCTTGCGAACCGACTTCGTTTGCTGCAGTGATGAAAGATCTTCGATGGCATCTTGCTATGAAACGTGAGATTGAAGCTTTAGAAGCAAATCACACATGGGATCTCGAAATGTTGCCTCGTGGTAAGAAGGCTATTGGGAGCAAGTGGGTCTTTAAAATAAAATATCGTTTTGATGGTTCTCTTGAGCGATTCAATGCTTGATTAGTGGCGTTGGAAAATTGACAAATTGAGGGACATGATTATAAGGAGACATTTGCACCAGTTGTGAAAATGGGTACGGTCTGTATTCTTCTCCAAGTTGCAGCTGCTCGTAGTTGGGAACTTCACCAAATGAATGTTCAGAATGCATTTCAACATGGTGATCTCACTGAAGAAGTATATATGCTACCTCCTCCGGGTTTCCGTACACAAGGTTGTTCCAAGGTTTGTCGCCTTCATAAATCTCTTTATGGTTTAAAACAAGCTCCGCGTTGTTGGTTTGCTAAGTTGGGATCTGCACTACGAACATATGGCTTCTCTCAAGCTCGTTCTGATTATTCGCTTTTCTCATATGTTAAGAATGGCGTCCATCTACACATTCTTGTCTAAGTAGATGATCTAGTTATCTCTCGTAATTCCGGACCTGCAATTTCAGCTTTTAAGTCATATTTGAGTTCTTGCTTTCATATGAAAGATTTGGGTGTCCTCAAGTACTTTCTTGGGATTGAAGTTGCTCGTAGTACCTCAAGAATATACTTATGCCAGAGGAAGTATACACTTGATATCATTACCAAAGCTGGTCTACTTGGTGCTAAACCGGCTAGTTTTCCGCTTGATCAGAATCACAAGTTGGCGCTTGCTTCTGATGCTCTACTTACCAATCTTGAACGTTATCGGCGCTTGGTTGGACGTTTAATTTATCTGGCAGTGACATGGCCCGATCTCACCTATAGTGTTCACATTCTTTCAAAGTTTATGCATACGCCTAGACAAACGCATTGGGATGCTGCTCTTCGGGTGATTCGTTATCTTAATGGAAATCCTGGTCAAGGAGTTCTTCTTAGCTCCGATTGTGATCTTCATGTTACTGCTTGGTGTGATGCGGATTGAGCTGCTTGTCCCCTTACTCGCCGCTCGCTTACATGATGGTTTATACAGTTAGGCTTCTCTCCTATTTCATGGAAGACTAAGAAACATGACATAGTCTCACGCTTTTCTGCCGAAGCAGAGTACCGAACTATGGCTGCTACTACACAGGAACTGTTATGGATTAAACGGCTATTATCTGATCTTGGCGTTGATCGTTCTCGGCCATACTCACTGTTTTGTGACAATCAAGCTGCTATTCATATCAGTTCCAATCCCGTCTTCCATGAGCGCACCAAACACATTGATGTTGAGTGTCATTTTGTTCGTGATGAGATTCAACACGGGACTCTTGTTGCTAATCATGTCCCTACCACACATCAGCTCGCAGATATCTTCACTAAGGCATTGGGCGCTAAGGAGTTTGAGTATTCATAATCTTCATGCTTCAACTTAAGAGGGGGTATTGAGATATACAAAAATATACTCTTTCCCTTAATTGTATATATTCCTTTTTGTTTCCTGACAGTACAAAATATTATATTAACATGATTCAAGAGCCTCTTGCAGTCTTGCATTTAAATTTTATATATTCTGAATTTTCTTATACATATTAAGAATTTCACTCACAAAATGAGTTGTGAGTGGCCATATGCTAAAAGTGGCCATGAGCTAAGTCTGGTCTAACTTGATTATGATTTCTCATCTGTGTAACAACGTCAGTAGTATGATATAAAAGAAATAAATCCCCTCCTATGTTTTCTGTAATTGAGGTGGTGTGATAGAATGAGAGTTAGCTAGAGAGGATTGGTTAATTAGATTTTCATTGTGTGAACATTATCTAAGAAATTACATGCTTACAAGAAGTATAAAACCAACGAAAAGAACAAGGAGATCATCATTTCTAAGAAGAAGATCAATGACATATGTTCAGTTTCGCATTTGCGATCACAAAAAAAAAGCATAGGTGAAAAGTAGTGTTCTTGAGGCAATACAATGTGTATGTTGATCTATCAAAGGAGCTCAAGTAGCAGTAATGGTATTAATTACATCGTTCTCCAAAAAAAAAAAAAAAGCAAACAACCTCTCTCCACTAGAAATCCAGAAACGATGGCTCCTCCATTGGTAAGAACTTAAGATTTTCTGTTTTCTTCTTCTTTCCCAATAAATTGTCTATAACTCTCTTGATCTCTAATAGTTCATGTGTATTTTTATGAACAGACATGCGTTTTGCTTGTGAAAACCGGACTCCAAGGTAGGGAAAAGGTGTTGACTAATTGAAGGTAAAAAAGCATAGAGTCTTGAAGATTTTTTTTTATATCAATTACACAAGAGTTCAAGAGAAGATTAATTAAATTGTTATTATGAAACATGATATGTTAAACTATGAGCATTGAGGAAGTACTAATCGGGATGTTGAATAATTTACAAGCTGAAGTTGGTTTTTCGTTGACGTATTTACGAGGCGAAGTTGATCCTTTGATCTTCATTAAGAAGTTGTATAAAGCGAGGTTTCACTATGCTCTACCGAATGGATTATGGATATGAAGAGAATCCAGAGAAACCCGTAAACCAAATAATCAATTCATGGTTTGTATATGTAACTTCTCTAATTTTCACTTTCAAACACTTTATAATAGTTTTATATATCTCACACAATTTATCTGTTTTTCACTACTTTAAATTTAATAATGTATGTGTTTTGGCTTTTGCAGAGATGTAGATTCGAAGTGACACATTAGAAGAATGTTGGGAGAAGAGAATCACAGGAGTTTTTATGTTGGAATTTGTGATCTAAAGTAAAAAAACTGTACCTTTGCTCTTAGGATAAAAGAAGAAGAATAAACTTAATTTAGAATTCAGAAAGCTCTTAATATTATTGATTGATTTCTTAGATCTAACGAGCTTACATACTTATACCAAAAAACTTAGCATATTTCTTATAGTAAATATTCTTAAAAAATATATTAGATGTAGAGAGAGAAAGGACAAAGGGAAAATGTATTTCTCATTAACAGTAAATTGTATTGTTACATCTGCTTATATACTATATGAGATAGTTGACTATACAAGTATTAACAATGCTGCTATATACAAGTAATATCTATACTCGTAATACTGTAAAAAGGAAATATAATGAATTGACAATTTAAATAAAACATAATGATAAATTTCCTAATTGCATATTAATCCTTTTTCTTAATATCTCAGCGATATGCTTTTGACGGTACTTCTTCTTCTCCCAATCTTTGTTTTCAATTTCTCATCTCCACAATCTCACAACCAGCATGACCTTCTTCGAATTGTGTGTTCTCTTTCTCAGATTAAATCAAAGCTGATGGTGAGATCCCAACACTTTAAAGCCCATCCAAGGTTCCTAATTTCTTTTATGTAGATCATCAATTTTTGGACAAAAGTTTTTTTTTTTTTTGTGGTTTCTTGATTTGTGGGTTCGGTTTCAGGTGTATCATTTACCATAGATGCACCATTCCGAATGGTATATTTACGTGGGAACGTTGAATTTGGAGTGCTGTTGAAGACGCTAGGGAAGACTGGCAATCATCTATTGTCAATGGACTATGAAGTCGAGTGTAAAGATCCAAACATGAAGCCACCAGCCAAAAGACTTGAAGCTCCTCCTGCAAATGAAACGGATGCACATCTATTGTTTCTAGTGAATCATGTCAGTTTCTACTAGATTCATTAGTATCTTCTATGACAAAATATACACACATATACACATATAGATACAATCACAAATACAAACATTTAGATAGAAAATACACAGACATTTAAAAAAATACATAGATATAGATATGACCATCTCAGATCTTATTCTTATTATTCTGATAGCACACTATATTATTATAAAGTATATATTATTAGCTGAGACTTGGCTCTACTTAAAAAGAGTAGCTCGATGATAATATCATACTTTCACCATTTTTTCACATAGCATCGGTCCTGTAGCTTAGCTTATAGTTTTAGGTTCCAAAATCTCAGTGTCGAATATCTTCGGAGCATATCCTTTCCCCTGATGGCCATGGAAGTAGACTCTTTCGAATCAGGAAACTCGCTTAGCCATTTCCCAGATGACCTCATATGTCGTTTCATGTTGTCCTTGAAATCGGCATAATAGAGCCCAAACCTGATTTTGTACCCTCTCTCCCACTCGAAGTTGTCCATTAACGACCATATGAAGTAACCCTTTAACGGTTCAACCTCACATTGTGCATCCTGTGAACCACCCACTAACATATTTGAATCATATATTCGAAAGTCATATGATTAGAGATGTAAGAGGGCCAAAAATATGTTTCTAGACCTTTGCAATTTTACGAGTAGATATTGGGATATTTACATATTTTGTATTATACCTTGATGTACAAGGTTTATTGTTTTCCATTTAGGATTTCCTTAGTTTGTATGAGGTATTGTGTATAAATACTAAACCTTAAAGATAAAGAGTAGTAACATAACAATTGAGACGATCTTACAACATTGAGAAATGTAAAAACGAAAACACTTTTATTATAACCAAAATCTTATAAATCTTGGTCAATCACAAACTAAAACATTCGAAAGAAAACATTGAAACAAACACCAAATCCACTGACTAGCTGCTCAAAGCTCATCCCTCTTGATCGTGGAAGGACGAGTTCCTTGACTTAAGAATTCTTTATAATACGTTCCGGATTCTTTCTCATGACGTGTGAGGTTATTTTTGAAATCAATGTAATAGAGTCCAAATCTGTTCTTGTAACCATCTTGCCACTCAAAATTGTCCAACAATGACCATATAAAGTATCCCGTAACATTTACTTTGTCGATGCTGCAGAATTCACATAAATGGTTTTATTAGATTCTTCAAGATAATTGTTACTTTATCATATAAATGAGAAATAGGACTTACCAAATAGCTTCTTGCATAGCCAAAAGATGCCTCTGGAGATAATATTTCCTGTTATGATCAGCAGTGCCAACTGCAACCGAATCTGCTGCCCCAAGTTCTTCTCCATATCCTAAATTTTAAACATCAAGATCAATATATTTAATATTTCTTTTTAAAACAAAATGAACATTGAAAAAAAACAACAATGGTAATATAATCTCTTAGTTACCATTTTCCATGATCATAATTTCTGGGTTTGCGTATTTATCCTTGATGTACTTCAAAAGACTTCTAAACCCTTTCGAGTAAACGTTCAATGCAGCGGTCAAAGGCTGAAATACAACAAAGCTGAAAGTGTTACATCGTAGACAAATAATATATTATTTATCTAATATATATATACTTGTGACAAAAAAATATATTTTTTGGAAAATAATTATAACATGTAATTATACATGTTTAAATATATTTTTATAATCTAAATTTCCCATTACTCTAATTAAATGCATACCTTGCTACCAATGCTGAAGTTTTGGGCATTCTTAGCTGAAAAGAAGATAGATTTTGATTAGAACCAAATAAGAACCTTATTTCTTTGATTTGTTGACATATATTTTCTTCGTTCGGTTTCAAGTAAGGAAAATAAACTTTACATTCCCAGGATATAAGAGAATCTTGCAAAAATCTTGGTTTAGAATAATCTGGTTTCTCCAAATGGTTTGAAAACACAGACGTGTAGTAGTTCATCCCTACGAAATCGGTCGAGCCTTTCAATTTTTCTTTCTGCTCAGTAGTAAATTTAGGCAATCTGTGTCCAACAATGTCTTTCATTTTCTGTGGATAATCTCCAAACGTAGTAGTATCAAGATGCCTACAAAAAACAATCAAATTCCATTAAATGTAATTATATATATATATACAAGCACCCATTGCCTTTCAAGATATTCCATATTGCAAATATCATTAACTACTTACCATCCCAACATAAAGTCAAGTGCACGGTCAATGGACGCACCATCTTGTGCATCATCAAAGTCATGCGGTTCGAACCAAGCAGGACTATGTGCGATACCGATCTTCCCACCTTTACACTGTGGCCATTAACATAATACACAACAAACTATTTTTTATCAAAAAGACAATAAAGGGGATTTGTTTTCTTGTGCCGCAAGTTCAAATCTTCTTTGGAACGGAAGGTTATTTTTAAAATCTAAGCTTTAAACCTTAATATCTAAAAGCTGATTACAGATATTGGGGGAGATTATGGGGCGACAGTGCGAACTCTCAGGATTTTCAAAGTTTTTTTTGTTTCGATTTTTACAATTTACCTTTTCGCATTTTCTGAAAGCTTCAACGGCTTCTGCGTGAGAGTTAAGGAGGTTATGACTGACGAGGTAAGCCTCATAGCCTGATCTTCCGTCTTGGCACTTAGGGTTGACGTAAGAAGAGCAACGTCCTGGTGCTTTCTTGCCTACATCGTAACCGGCGTGAGCAAAGACCCATGGCTCGTTGAATGTGATCCAGTGTTTCACTTTTCCACCGTATTCTTGAAAAACAAAATCTGCATACTCCCGGAAATCTTTCCTGCATTGTTGAAATTAGTCAGGTTTGTATATAGAGAAAATTTTGTTTCGTTTTATAAGAAACTTACACAATCAAATCACTTAAAAAGCCGCCATATTCATCTTCTAGATCTTGTGGAGTGTCCCAGTGAAAAACAGTAGCAAAGGGAATTATACCTATTTACAATATTGAATAAAAATGTTGTTTAGAGAATAAAAGCGTATTTGATTAATTTTGTTCAAATTAACCAACTTCTGCTTTAAAATATATATGACCATTTCTTAGGAGCTCGTCGATGAGGTCATGGTAGAATTGCACACCAGCTTGGCTCACTCCTTTCTCCTTTCTCCCATCTGATAAAGCATTTTTTTGTTACAGTAATATTTCTAACAAGTAAATACATTTAAATACACCAAATTCGATTAATACTAAACTAATTCATAATTAAAATATGTGATACGTATATCGATCCGTAGCAAATAAACTCACGAGGGAATATTCTTGGCCACGCGATAGAGAGTCTGAAGGCGTCTGTGTTTAGATTCTTCATTAGTTGAATATCTTCCTGCAAACATTTTTAGGAGACAATTTTTTCAACATCTAGTATTATATAAAAATGATGTACTGTAGAAAAAGGAGATTTACGAGATAAGTAAAGTCTTTGATCCATATTAATATATGTACCTTGTAACGATGGAAGAAATCAACGGCCACATCGCCGTTATCGTTATTGCATCTTTCTGTAATTTAAAAATTAAAGACAAAATACATGATTATCAAGATTAATCAATTAATTAAAGGAAACATTTCTTAATATATAGTTAAGACTCGAGATAGTAAAAAAGTAAGCGTAGGCACTAACCTGGATATCTCTTACAGTAGATGTCCCATAAGGCCGGTCCACGACAAGTTTCATTCACTGCACCTTCGACCTAATTAGTGACATAATGGCAAGAGTTGATATGGTTAGCAAATGTTATGTACAATATGAAACTCAAACCCTTTAGCAAAAAATAAAAATAAATATCAAACACCATTATTTACTTCTTTTTTTAATAGAAAAACACCATTTTTTTTTTTTGAACTTTAACACCATTGTTTACATAGAGTATTATGTTTTTTCTTTTTTTGAACCTTTACATATAGTATTATGTTGTATAATGTAGTTGACTAATTTATAATTTTGTAAACCATGGTTTCGAAAATGATATACATAATAACATATTATTTATGTGTCAAATAACTTATTGAAAACTCTTTTATATGTCAAAAATGTTCATGGAAATTCATATTGTACCTGATATGCCGCAGTAGCCGTGCCGAATAAAAAGCCTTCAGGGAAACTTGCCCGGCTTAGCTTCGTAGACGGCGGGCAAACAGGTCCATCAGCCATTGCCGGAGAGACGATGATGGTTAGGAGCAAAATCAGCCCCATGAGAGGAAAGTTTGTCAAAGCCATTTTGCTTTTAGTTGTTTTTGTTTTCTTCAACAGAAGAAGTTTAAGATGTTTCATTTACATTACAGTGGTGTTCTTTATATAGCGATTTTGATCACTGATTGATCTTTCATTTTATTTTAATATGCCAACCAGGCATCGTAATTTTATTTTAATATGCCAACCAGGCATCGTACTTGATCATCTTTTAATATATAAACCGAGTTTTTCGTTCAAATCCTTAATCACACATGCATGGATACTGACGTTCGACTAACGTTGTCTATTTTTATAAGTAAACTATTATTTTGCACTTCAATAATTCATTATATAATGCATATAGGATGATTCACTGCAAGATATATCGTTAAACTATTATTTTTCTTCTGAAATTTGGAACATATAAAATTCCGCGTGTCCCACGAGCAACGTACATTAAATTGTGACTAAGTAAAAAAAACATGAAGGTTCCATCCATTGTAAAAGGGTTTTATTCATCCAATAACCAAAAAGTGGCCCTGAAGATGCAAGACCATTTAATATTCAGCTCACGTGAAATTTGGTTAGATCTCCTTCGAATAAGGCCGAGTTTTTTATAAGGTGAATTAGCCATATGACAAAAAGACTTATTAAAAATAAGGAGAATGACAAACTGATTTTTTTGGTGACGGGGTAATTTATATGTAATTTAACCGTTTGATTTGACATACTGTAATAACAAATTACATGTTCATTCAATATATTAACAAGTCTTGTACCAAATATAACTTATAAATTTACAACTTTATAATTTATACGTTATAACATC